GCGGCTTAAAATGGCTTCCAAAATCGTTAGTTTTCCACTAAAACTGTTGAAACTTTCATAAATGACATGATTTTGATTGGCACACACGTGCCAGTCGACCAAACTAATCGAAATTATATAACTTCAAGGTTTTGTAACTGCGGTTTTTAAGGTCTCTGGAGACCTCAGCATCTACGGCCAGCTCGAGAAATCGTTTTGTTTTCATCAACGAAATTAGACTGCCAAACCATGCCATTTATGAAAGTTTCAACAGTTTTAGTGAAAACTAACGATTTTGGAAGTAGTGGCGTAACCAGGAATCCGTGGGTGGTAGAGCAGTGCCCCACGACCTTTAAAAAAATCCATCCACGATAGTTTAAATTTTTTCCACAACTGAAATACAGTTGCTCAATTCTCACTTTCTTAAGAGAAAGACAATACACTCTATCTGCACTTTTATTAAGTGAAATTATGTGAACAAAAGAGAAAAAGAAAATGAAATAAATAAATAAATAATAGCTATTTCAACATTATTCGACAAAAATCTTAGTGAAAATAATTATTTTTTTGTTTCTCCCGGTAACCGGGCAAAGCCTGCCGGTGGCCGGGCGGCGCCCGGTCTAGCACACCCCTGGTTACGCCACTATTTGCAAGCCATTTTAAACCGCTGCCTGGATATTTCTGTTATACTTAAAAAATAGTTACCACAAAGTTAATAACTGATAGTTACCGTTAAAACAACGGTAACTAGAAAGGCAGTTACCGTTGTCGATAACGGCCGAAACGGTAACTTTTATAGTCCTAACCTAGAAGAGTCTACTAACTAAATATTTTTTTATTATTTTAGAGAACATTAAAACGTGAAATTCAATCGTGTCCAATATTAATTATATGGACAGATTGTGATCGTGAAGGTGAAAATATTGGTTATGAAATAATTGATATATGTAAAGCTGTTCGTCCACAAACAAAAATTTATCGTGCTAAATTTTCTGAAATTACAACTCAATCAGCAGTACGTGCTTTAGCTAATTTACAACAGCCAAATAATGATATTAATATGGCTGTCAATGTACGTCAAATATTAGATTTACGAATTGGTGCAGCATTTACACGTTTTCAAACATTAAGATTACAACGTTTATATTCAACAGAATTAAAAGAAAAAGTAATTAGTTATGGTTCATGTCAATTTCCAACATTGGGTTTTGTTGTTGAACGTTATCAACAACGAGAAAATTTTATTAAAGAATTATTTTGGAAAATTGTTGTTGAACATAAAACAGATTCTGAAAAAATTTGTGATTTTGTATGGGAAAGAGGAAGATTATTTGAACATCATGCATGTTTAATGTTATATGATATGATCATGGAGGAACCATTGGCTAAAGTAATCGATGTTAAAGGAAAAAATAAATCTAAATGGAGACCAGTAGCATTAGATACAGTGGTAAAAGTGAATGTTTTTTTAACTCAATTCTTTTTGATTATTTATTTTTATGTAAAATTTTCTCTAATGAATTATTATTACATTTTTTAGGAATTAGAAAAATTAGCCAGTCGTAAATTACGTTTAAGTGGTAAAAAAACAATGGAAATAGCTGAAAAACTTTATACAAAAGGTATGATTAGTTATCCAAGAACAGAAACAAATAAATTTCCAAAAGAAATTAATCTCGTACCATTAGTACAAAATCAAACTGTTGATCCAAATTGGGGAGGTAAAAAAGAAAATTAATTTTGATCAATTGTTAAGACTAACAAAACAAAAAAAGAAGTAATATGTTATTGATTGATTTTAGCATTTGCTCAACGCGTATTAAATGATGGTCCTAATCCAAGAAATGGCAAACAAACAGATCAAGCACATCCACCGATTCATCCAACAAGATATCCTGATCAACAACTTCAAGTAAGAAAAAAATTAATTTTGTGACATAATTCATCTCTAAATTTCTATTCTTTTCTTTAGGGTGATGAAAAAAGAGTGTATGAATTAATTGTTCGACATTTTTTGGCATGTGTTTCTAAAGATGCACAAGGTGATGAAACAATTGTTCAAATTATGATTAATAACGAAAAAGTATGTTGATAACAATCGATTTTCATATCAGATTAATTTTACTATTCGTTTTTATATTCTTCGTTTTTAGTTTAGTGCATCTGGTTTGATTATACGAGAACGAAATTATCTCGATGTTTATCCGTATGATAAATGGTCAGACAAAGTAAGCAAAAAGGAATCTTTTATTGAGTGTTCAATCAATTTTTTTTAAATTTTTATAGGAAATTCCACGTTATGATGTTAATCAAACATTTTATCCATCAAAAATTGAAATGGTACAAGGTGAAACAACGGCTCCTCAATTACTAACCGAAGCTGATCTAATTTCATTAATGGAAAAACATGGCATTGGTGAGAGAATGTTCATTCATTTTTGTCTATTAATAATTTTACAGTTGCTTGATGTTTAGGAACGGATGCAACGCATGCGGAACATATTGATAAAATTCAAGAACGAACATATGTGGCTATGAATGATGAACGTCGATTTTCACCAGAAAAACTTGGTCTTGGTTTATGTGAAGGATATGATGCTATGGGACACGCATTAGCAAAACCACATTTACGAGCTGAATTAGAACAACAATTAAAAATGTAACCAAAAATTATTAGTAGTTTAAGTAGCAAAATTTGAAATTGTTAATATAAAGTTATTAAAAACTTGCTTATAAAATACTTTCTAGTGGAAAATTTAAGCTAACATTTTATACCATTCATATCTTTCATGTTGTTACAAATTACTAATCAAGTTTTACAAATTTTGAAATATTCTTCTATACTACACTTGTCACAAATTTAATATATTTTTCTTATTTTATTTGTAGGGTATGTGATGGACGTGCTAATAGTGAGGGTAAGTAAATAAGTCTATTGTATCTATTTCATATTCTTATATCAATTTTATCTTCTTTTATTAGATGTTTTACGAGAACAGATTGAAAAATATCGTCAAGTATTTGTTGATACGTCAATGCAAATACAAAAACTTGATGATTCAATGTCCAAGTATTTTGGTAATCCTGTTCAACAACCACGACAACAGACAATATTTGGTGATGCTACAAATCGTCAACAACAGTTAGCTAATCAGCCACGTCTCGCAGGACCAAATGGTTTTCAACCACAAACTCGAAATAATCGAAAGTATGTGTTGTAGAGATGATCAATAGTATTGAAGAGTTAGAATTGACTTATTTTTGTTTAGTGGGCCACAAAATGGACAGGATAATGATAACAATGATAATGGACCAAGATGTCATTGTGGTGAGCGAGCAAGATTGTGTACAGTGAAAAAAGAAGGTGCAAATAAAGGAAGAAAATTTTATGGATGTGAAAAAGGAATGACAGATTCATGTGGTTTCTTTTCATGGGCACCCGATAATGTACAACAAACACAAACTAGACAACCGAATAATAGAAGAAATGGACAAAATGGTTAGTTTATCTTATTAAAAAAAAATTGTATCATTTTCATCATTTTGATCGACATTCTAGGTCAACAACCTCAATCAAGGAAACGAAGACGGTCAGCTGATGATAGTACAGACGGTGGTCAAACAACAACGCGTAAATGTAGTTATTGTAAACAATCAGGTATAAAATAGTATATTCTATCAGATGATGGATAATAAAATATCTATTTTTATTTTATTTAGGACATACACGACCAAAATGTCCACAACTTCGTGATGATTAAACATATTGTTGATCTAATTTTCTTTGTTTATTCTCTATATACGTGTTATTTATACTGTGTATGTGTGTTTGTCTTTTGTTTTTTGTTTCTAAAGACTTGTCACCATTTTGTTTTTTATACGTCTGTACATAATGTAATGACTTTATTTTCATTTAGCTCTTTTTTTTTTGTATAATCATGGAAAAGTGTTTTTATTTTTATTACGATCAAGATTTGTTCATAACCTATTTTTAAGTGTATACAGTAGATAAACAATTGATTTAATTCTACTGTATGAATCAGGCTAGGTCAATTTATTCCTCATTTGTATCACATCTACTATGTTTTAATATTAACATTAATCTCGATCTCTATGTAACAACATACTAAATTTCATATTCTCATATATCTGTTAGAAAAGATAAAATTTTCTCTACATTGTGTATGATGAATAGTACATAAATTTCATCCGTTTTTTTATAAAAATTAAAATCTAATGATTAAAATTTTTGGAGATTGATAGACAAATGAACATTTTTTTTTAAGTAAAAGAAATAACAGGTAAGTTGAAGATGTCATTGTCTTCGTTTTATAGTAGCTGATAATCAGAAAAAAACTTACCTGTCTTTGTTTATTTTAATATTAAAAACGCATAATAGTTTACTATGTCATACATACAAATTATTATTTTAATAACGTTTATTTCAGAGAGAGTGAATGTGAACGATCCTCAGTTCGTAAACGGTGTAATTAATCACACTGTAATATTTATAGTCATACAGTCGAGTGAGAATACTATCAAGGAGCAAACTTGTCATTATTCTATCATCTGATTAATTCGTCTTTAGTGATTTAACCTCAGAGTTACGTAGTATCATGACAGTTTTATAAATGTACACAAAAAAGCGACTATTCTAATTGATTCACCTTATACATTGAAAGTATTCAAACAATGATGAATTATTATCTTTTTTTTTTTTCATATACAAATATAACAAATACATTCTTAGAATAATGAAGATTTCTTGAGACAACGTTGTTTAAAATGATCTCAGAAGACAAAATAGAATATCGAGTGTAATTTCACTATTTAAATTATGAATATACACAGACAAATCTCTAACAGATTGAATTAAATTTTATTCTGTTTGTTTTTACGTTCACTTATCGAACGAATTAGTTGGTATATCTCGAATAACGATTACACATGTAATTACGCCAGCGTTACTTAAACACGTGTAGAATTATTGAATGTGACTATAAAAAGAGGCATTACTAGTGTATTAAGCAACTGAGTCTCTTCCATACACGAACTTATTGAAAAATGAATTAAGTATTTTTTCTTTGAATTGATATAGTTTTAAGTACTTTTATTTCGTAGGAAACGTTTGATGCTATACCGATAAACAAATAGTTTCTAGGACGAGAATCTTTAAACGTTTATGAGTGTAAAATGTACTGTGTACGGTTCTTCCATTTAAAATTTCTTTAGCAAATTATTCAAGGGTAAAGTTTTGAACTACTTCGATCTTGAAAAAAAGAGAAGTAAATCAAGCGTGTAAAAGTTTTAAGAAAAATTTGGCATAAAAGTCTATAGAAGCAATGGCTCAATATTCATCCGCTGTGAAATTAGCTTTTATTACCTTGACTGTCAGTCTACTTGTTTATAAGAAAGACAACAGATCAAATGTTGAAAATTATAGGCCAATAAATCTACTCAAATGTCAATAAAATGCTCGAGAGAATAATATTTATTTAATTAAATAGAAATAAACGTGTTATTGTTAGGGTTAGCAAGGATTCCGATTGGTTTTTGACTAGAGGAACTATAATTGTGGCGAAAAGCTTATAAAAAGATCTTGCGGAAAGTAATAGCGGGAAAAATAGAATGACTTTATTTTCTCTTATTCATCACTCTTATTCTCTGTGCTCAGCCTGAGATGGTTTCACTTTTCGTTCCGTTTATTAAGAGAGTAAAGTACAAATAAAAACAATAGTCGTTTTTAATCTTCGTTAATGATCATTTTTTTCTATCATTTTCCTGTTCATCCAAATATAACGTGATATTTCTTTGTCTTGCTATATACAACTATATTTCGACCTTCGCTTTAATGTAATGTCTTATACATGGCAGTTTTATTTGATAATGGCTGCATAAATGAGTCAAATTTTGTAATTCTTAACTCTCTTCTTCATTCTATTTTTAATTTTAATTTTAGTCTTAGCATGTTAAAATGAATTCAGAGTGTTATACCCGCTCAAGTCTAATAATTTAAACTCTTATTTCTGTTCCTCAACTCGAGACGATAAAATTACCTACTTAGACGTGAAATACTTAAAAAAGAAAAACAGACTTCCAAGTAATGTAAAAGAGACCTTACTCGTATTTGCACACCTATGCGGAAGATTAACACAGAAAAGTTGATACAAAAAATAGTTTTTTATGCGGCTAATGTATTTTCCGCGGTTGAAAGTCAAGGCAAAACCTTTTATAGAAAGTCAGAAATTCTAGTAAGTGGCTGGTCCTTCCCTGCTCCCACCTCTTCCGATCAGGATTACTGAGCGTTAGACGAAATTCATCAATGCTCGATGCTCTACTCTTTTAAACTCGCTCTGTCTATAAAGTCATAAATAAAAAATACCACTTAGATCAGTCAGTATTTCTTTTGATTTCTTGAAAGCTAGTGATGTTTTAAGGCAATAAGTCAAAATTAAGAATGAATTATCTTATTATTTGAGCAAGTATACCCCAAAACAATGTTTTTATGACGTTGTTTCTTAATATTTGTAAAAAAAATCACCTACCTTGACGTCTGTCACATTAATCGCCTTGATTTTTGCTGATGATCTATTTTGTTGTACACCTGATAAGAGAGGAAATTGACGAAATAAATGGATAGTATAATTTAGATTTAGTCAAACACAATACGAGAAAATTTCGTTAATTAGTTTTTGACAGACTGAATGTTTGCTTATCACTAACAATTCTAAAGTTTGATGATGATTCCTTAGTAAAAGTAAAAGAAATAAAATTATTAAGTGTAACAATTACTATTAATCTTAAATAAAATTCTCACATAAATAAAATTGCAATAAATTAGTGTCAAATGCATGATGCTATATACTGTTTATTTAAATATAGTGATATTAAATCACTACGTATAAGAAAAATGATTAGTTTCATTATAAAAATTATTTATATAAACGTTCGAACAATATACACTATTCGTCATTAGACTCATCGATCAAATTAAAATATTACTCATTAAGACGCAAAATTTTTCGACTACAATTCATATGAAAACTGACAAAAATCTTAGTATGCAACATTTGTACAATTGGTCGAGATAATTGAATATCACAGAATTATTTCACGATGAATGTACAGTAAAACTATTTTTTGCTACAAAAAACAGTTTTTTTAATTATTTTCAATTTTTGTAGAAAATTATAAATATGTCTGTGATAAAAAGTTTTTTTACAATCTAAACGATTCATATACAAGTCTCAAATTTGTAGAATAGTTCTTCACTTATGAGTATGTTGTCTCGTCATGGAAATTATTATTAGTCATTATACCAACATATTTTTTCAAGCAATTATATAAATGAAAGTGTATAAAAAAGTTTAGAGAATCAGTCACTATATACAAATTTCGTCAAATCAGTTAATTATATAGCAACAGTTAAAAGGAGTGAGGGTTTTAAATCTACTAATTCTGCCAAATTTAATAACATTATCGGTCGAACTGAATCACTTTGACAGTTCACGGTACTATTGGTCCGTAGTTCCTATTACCTCACTGTTAGTATTACTTATCGGAATAAATCCCATTGTAGTAGAAAGTATTTTCAGTATTCTGAAATAAAATGGAATAACTTTTCAATAAAAAGGTTATCTAATTCATGAACAGCGAATGTCGTGAAATATCGAACAAATAAGTAGTGGGTAATAATCTTTTATATAGAGATAAACACTATTTTTAACTAATTTTGAGCGACGAGATACAAACGCTAAAACGACACATCGATTTTACTACACCTAACTACACATCTCTTTCTGAGAAGTCTAATATCCGGTTAATGTTTGCATTTGTAAAATAAAAATCCATCTATACAAGGACAGTTTGCCAAGTTTTTGACAGTATACAACGTTACACTATATAAAAAAAAATATACGCTCTGATGAGTATTAATTCACGGTCGTTTTTTTCTTTTACTCATTTAAAAAAAAAAAAAACGACGAGCGTAGGAATAGTGTCCCTCTAATGTAGACACAGATATGAATAACAAACAAAAGTTTCTTGAGGAAAAGAATGATATGTTTGTTCTTTCTCTAATGAAGGACTTTTCTTGATTCGATTTTTGCATTGTAGACAATTGGATTTTATGAAATTATAGAGCCGAAGCGGATTTATGTATGTACAAGAGATGAATAGTGTGTAATTCGATAAACGTAATTGTTTTTCAAGTTAAAATATGCTTAGTGAAGATCGGGCATCCAACAGCTTAACGTCTGATCGTGGTTCAATTAGGGACACACGACCGATCGATCGGCGATCGTCTATTGATGAAGAAGATGACGCACAGTACGAGGAACCGGGTGGACTTACAGAGACTGATGGTCGACCTGAACCACCACCTCAACAACGAGATCAGCAATATATAGGAGCATTACAACATCGTTTTCCAAGTCGACCGAAAAGTGATTATGCTTATTCGGCACCGATTATTAACACTGCAGGTATGAATGTTTTCTATTAACGTATAACAAAATTGCACCTGAAAATAGATCAATCATTACAAATATGACTAATGTTTTGTCAAAAGTGTTTTCCATACGTTTCGCGATCGACAGTTTCTTTTTTTAAAACTCATCATGTCGAGAGACGTGTTGAAAAATTTAATTACTACTATTTTTAGGGGTGACAACTTCTGTAACGCCCACTACTCGTTTAAATGGAACAAGAACTACAACGCCTATTACACCGCCAGGAACAAATCAGTCTACACCTGCACCTGGAACAAATAGAGGGAATACAAATGGTAATACATCATCTGTATTTCCAAGACCAAATCTTCGTCCAGTTTCTACTTCTCAACAAAATACATACGCACGGCGACTGACACCACCACAATCCACAATGACAACGCCAGGTCGAGCCACAACTACCCCGACCAATGTCGGGGTACAACAAGATACTCGATCAACGTTACAAAGACCAACCACAACACCAACTACTGGAATAAGAACAACACAAAATTTAGTTGATATACCAATACCAATACCAATACCAACATCAACTTTTATGCCGAGTATAAGACCTATGGAAAGTACTTTTGAACGAATCGATTCTAGAGGAGGACCTGTGTCATATCTTGGCACGGGTACTTGGTCACAATTTGAACATTGTCTGAGGGAATGTTTGTCTCGAGAACGTAATTATAGTGGTATAACGAGTGAAATATACAGACATGATATACCAGGCGTGAGAGGACCAGATCCCGTCTCGTTAATTAATGATTATTCCTATGACAAAAGTATTCCATATGATTCTCTTAGATCTTCTGGATATGGATATCATGATTATCCAATTAGGCCAGCCGGCGCCTTAAATCTTGAAGATATTCAAGGAATAAATGCTGCTCTGTCAAAAAGTGGCATTTCTGTTTTCCCTCATCATCACCATCCCGGATACTATTACGATCATCATCATAACGACCAATACCATTTCGGTTCTCATGAACCAGTTGGGTTGCATAGCTATGGAACAAATTTTCCCCAACCTCGTCATCGTGTTATTGGTGAAATAGTGTCTGCTTGTCGAATAGTAAATGAAGAACCCTTTGGTAGTTATCCACCATCTCACGCAGATAGAGTGACTGCTGTTCAACATGTTTGGAATGCTATACAAAATCGACTACCAATGACACAAATGATGGCAGATCCGATTAATCCACAACATTATGCTCCACCATATCTATCTGGTGGCTCTCATCCCTCTTCTCCATCTTATCCTCCTCCTACATCAACGTTAAATCCATCACAACCCCTTCAAACTACGTTTCGTTAATTAACAGTTAGAAAATAGAGTAATAACTTTCACGTGCATATGAATATGCATACACACGCACACACCTTGTTATTTGTGGTTTCTTCGACATTGAAATATATTTCATATTTCGAAGCCCTTAATAAATATATCAAACACATACCTAACATATATACATATTATTTTATAAATATAAACAGTTAGCTGTTGTTTTCAAGTCATACAAAACAAGGTCAATAAACAGATATCTTGTTATGTTTAATTAGGCATTGTATATTTAGAAGAGGATCTAACGCAATGTATAACTACGTGAATATTTTCTAGTCTCATTTAGTTATGAGCTTGCACATTAAAATAAAAATAAATTTTGTCATAGTTTAATACCCAAGAGTTAGTTTAATAACCTTGAAATGATGAATTAGCACGCCTTGCAGATAACAAGTTAGCTCTCCGAGTACGGGATCATTTTTTCAAAAATAATCCCGCAAAAGTAGCAACACTCCTGTAACTCTAGTATCATGATAGCTGGGGACTTCTAATTTTATGTGATCATAACTCTTATCGAAGGCTGATCACCCACCAACTTTGGGACTCTTTTACTGGGTGGTTAAATGCAGCCACGACTCTACTCTACTCTATCCGTCCAGGAGCATCACCATTTTGAATTCAAATTCATATCAAAGACTCTACAGCATCTGTAGACTATTCAGCCAAAGTATGAAGGTTAACTATTGTATGGTTCTGGAAATTCATTTAGGACGAGCACCCACGATTGAAACATACGTAGAAGAGCGAGGGTGATGAACTAAGGGTCGCTCTTTGTACTATAGTATTTGTACTGAATGTACATCATAATCATGAAAAAATAATCATAGAAACCTATGATCCGAAAAACATAGGTGAAACTTTAGTCAGAAAGATTACACACTTATCTCTAACCTTCGCTATTTCACTTATTTTGTGTCTTTTTCACTCTCCATATATTTTGAAGCAAAACTAATAACATATTTAAGATCAGCAAACAAAACTAGATCATTCATTTCATTGAATAATCAATACTTAATATTTACGAAAACTATTCAGAGGGCAAAATCTCAGGACGCGAATTCGCGTCGTCCGTACTCAAAAGATTATTGAAGAAAAAAACGAGAATTTTTATCCGAGAAAAAAGTGCCGTTCGATATTTTTTTTTCCTTATTCACATTTATATAAATAAATCAGGCTACCTGTTCACAAAACCGATGCAATATACAAATTAAAAACTACTTATAATCAATAAAATGTGTATTGTTATTAATCATAGATGTACGAACCGCCTTCACAGAGAAAAATTGTTCCTAGAATGATATCACAAAGAGAACTTTCTTTTGTTGAAGCGTGTAGGATGTTCCCACATAAAGCCATTGATGACATAAACACAAAAAAAAAAAGAGAAATTGCACAGAAGAAAAAATTAATAAGTATAGGAAAAAGCAACCTTGGTGACAGGTAGTTTGATCTGTATATTTAAATTATGGACTAATTATGGGAAATATTCAAACGGCAGCTGGTGGTCTGTTACCAACTCCTGGAGCAGCTGCAGCAGTCGGGTAAGTATTAATAATAATAAAATCATATTAGATTATACATGAACGCTGATCTTTCTCTACTCATAAGTAGGATACGAATCATTTTGGGTACAATGTTTATCTACGATACCGTTATATTCTTCTGTTACCAAAAAAAACCTATATTTTGATTACCGTGAAAATGTTTTAAGCTTACGTTAGTTAAAAATCGTTTTGATTTTTAGTATGAAAATTGGCTATTTATTTAAATTGAGACGTAAAGAGTATGAAAAATAACTAGAGTTAATCTGTTTCACAATGACACTTCAAAAAAAAAATTTTAAGATTTATTTCTTTACTGAAGAAGAAAAAAAAGAAGTCTAAAAAATGTTTCAATGAGCATAGCACTACAAATATTATTTTACATCTATCGTTTCCTATGGTCAAAATTTGACTTTGGTTAAAACAAATTTTTTATAAATAGTTTGAGAAAAAAGTTTTTTTGATTGTTTTTACTAAAATCAGACAAAACGAAAAAAGAAAAATGAAGAAAAAAAGCTTACTTTTTATATTGTATATACTTCGTATTATAACAACATAAATATTTAACGATATGCTGCTGTGTTTAGCTTTTTGAGGAGGCAATCTGTTATTTATTTTGTATTCTAATTTTTTTTTTATTGTTCGATTACCATACAATCGTCAGTGTTTAAACATAAGATAGACATATTCGTCAACCTTATTTATTAATAATGAACACGTGTAATACCACATATTCTATGTATTTCAAGATGTCTATATGCGTATGTGTAGTATTTAAAATAAAATAAAATCGAAAAACAGGTATCTACACTTTTTCCGCCCATATGTTTGCTATGCACATGCATTTTTTTAATAAAAGAAAAAAAAAAGAATGAAAATGATGAATGAGACCATAAATTTGAACCAACACACACACACAAATACGCACCCGAACATCATATTAAGTAATATCTATTGATCAACAAAAGGATAAAATGAAATTTTTTTAAAACTTTACAATGAATAACGCGACAAAATGTTCACCTTTTAGTTTTATTGACTTGTAAAATAATGATTTATGTAAAAAGAGTTCATATTACTCAACTAGAAAGGATACACCTACAGAGAACTGTTAAGAATCTATAAATGGGACAGACATTCACTGCACCAATTCAAGAGCCGTGAGTAGTTGTTTTTCATGCATTTAGCACTCATTAACAGAATACATTTTTATTCATTCTAATTTTAAATACTGTCTGTCAACAGCGAGCATAGTTTTCTCCTAAGTGATCTCTATTTCCTGGTGGTTCTCGGCAAAAAAATTTTTGTTTGAAAGTGTTTTTTTAGTGCAGGTTCGGCTTGGTGGATTAATCGTGCGCTAGCAATTTGGGCAATATGTGCTCTATTATTATGTGAACTACTAGCATTATTATGTTTACTAAGATATTGTTGTCAAAGGTATAAACAAAAACGACTCTTTTCAAGCGTAAGTGAGAATAATTCTCTATAACTATTTTTTTCATTTCAATGCAACATCACTCGTTGCTTGCAGAGAAAATATGGTGAAAAAGTAGATGGATTTGCACATGGACAACATGTAGGAGGAGGTAATAGTGGAGGCGTATATACTACCCAAGAAAGTCGACGATTTACCGCGCCACCTCCACCAACAGACAACACTTATCGAGAAATTATTGAACGTCAAACGATTCAAGATGATTATTTGGGCGCAGAAAATGAAAATACTTTTCATCGATCAAATTATATAGGAGCTGGAGCACGTTCAAATCCATATGTATTTACACAAGAAAACGTGTATGAAAGTGAAGCAGTACCAACAGTTGCAATTATTACTTCACAAACGCCGAATGATAAACTAGACTCAGTATCCGAACGTTCATCTTATTCATCTGGAAGATCTAATCGTAAATTATTGCCCAATTAGTAAGTATTATTCTAATTCATAATAATTGTTTGAAAACCAGTTGATATCTTATAGTAATCAAAGTGGTATAACTGAAAATATTGAAACGAATATCACACGAAATATTACAAAAAATATTACAATCAATGAAGAAGAAAATTATCAAATACTTCATGCACCACCCATTGAACAAGACGTATACTACGTTCAACAAAATACTCAACAACATTTACCTCCACCACCTTCACGTACAACTGTAACACGTTTACAAGGACCGTATACAACACGAATTAATATGGGAGCTGAACATATTGTTGATGCACCACAATGGGAAGAAACCACACCGTTGCACATCCAATATGAATCAAATGATGATGATTCATCAAATATATTAGCGAGACAAAATAAAAAAGAGTCAAATAGTAATACAACACCTCCACCATTAAGGTAATCAAATAATATATTCATTCAACAAATTTTGATACTCGCAAATACAAATTTGTCGCATAAGTCTCTTTGCATTCTTCATCATGACTTTTGATTTTCTTAATTTTAGAAATGTTAACCCGGTAAAATTGGATAATCCAAAGATACCTATTAAACGTGCATCGATTGAAATGGTTAATGAAGAACCCATTTGGGAACAAGCGGGCAAGTATGAAACATTAGTTAACGATTCACCACGTAAACGAACATTGGATGATAGTCGACATTCACGTTCAGACAACAATTTAAAAAACAGTGATTATGAACGAACAAGGAGGACATCCCGTTATCCATCACCACGTCGTTCAGTCTCATCCGATAATCTTGATCGATGGCCTACTCCACCAAACGTTCGTTCGGCTAGTGGAAAAGTAGAAATATTACCGTATAATAGCAATATAATAATGAGAACAAGAGATACTGATAGTACTACCAGTGATCAAAATTCTATGTACGAAAGTATTGTGGTGAAAAAAAATGGTCGACAGAGAAGTAGATTAAATTTATTCTAAAAGAAAACTTTCTATTATATATCAATTTGTTTATATTTAGGGTCTTCAACAATCGATGATGATATTTATAAAACAGCTGGTGTAGATGAAGTAGAAATTGAAATGAGAGATCTTGTTCAACGTCAGAAAAGTACCAAAATGAATGTTTACGATGATATATTACCGAGTGTTCAAACAACAAATGGTACATTGATAACACCGGTTGCAACAATTGAACAACAAGTTGAACATGAACAAACAATAACAAATGTTGTTCGAAAAAATGTCGAAGTTCCCATTCAAAGACAATTTCAAACAAGAACAGCAATGGCATCAGGAACCTATGAACACTTAACTAATGATTATAATCAAACGCCATCAATATCAAGACAGTCAAGTGCACAATAAGATACATCCATTGATAATGTAAACAGATTATCATCATCAACAACAACGAGATCAGACTTTATTTGCAGTCTGTTTTCGAATTATATTCATTTAGAAAATGTACAGTTTGCTCTCTAAATTTTGATTTTTCGTACAGTCTTTCGCATTGTTGTCAGGTTTGTTTGTGTTGATACTGTCATAATTTCAACACTATTGAAGAGCTCTTTATGAGAACGAAAATGCTCGAGATTGTTTTTTAGTCTAATCAGATATACTACGAAAATTTCGAAGTACTGTGGCTCAGAAATAATCTCTAGCTGTTTCAATTATTGATAGTGTATCAGCTTTGCAATAACGCCGTCACATATACGATACGATCTACTTTAGGCATTTTACCTTAATATAATTGTTTTATAAGCATCAATAAGCTACCTTTTTATATATTTTAATAAATGAATGAATTCATTCCATTTTTGATAAATTCGTTAAAGTTTCATCAAGATTTTTTGCGAAAACATTGAAAAATCTTCATGACCAACAGTTCCTTTAATTGTTAATTTTGACGGATGCGACAGAGTAAATTGTCAGTTTTTGATAGGTGGTTTTCTCAAGTTAAGTGGGATCAGAAAGTTTCGTTCTGATGTTAAAAGAGAGAATTTGTGTGGATTTTATCGATATATTCTTTTTAAAATAAGCATTCGTCATTTTTTTGTAGCATTAAAAGTACTGGAAGCCACAAAAACATCACTTGCTCAGCACTTTCCTGGAATAAAATGTCATTTTGATTTCTTAAGTAATTTTTCATACACTATTCAAACACAGTATGAAAAGTACAGAAAAGTATTTGTTTTTGAGATACAAAACCAAATTTTACTTTTTTAAAAACTGCCTACAAAATATGCCTAATTATCAATTTTTTGGCATCTTTTCATGTCAAGGAAAACATCTCAACTTCGTTATTCAGTTAGAAAAATAAGTCAACCTTATAAAGAAGAGCATTTTGTATACTGTTAAAAATCTTTGTTCTTTGATTTTTCAAAGAACATGTTGAAGGACACATAAGTACTTTGGAAAATAAAGAACAAAATACATGTTCTTCAGCTCATGTTTGCTCTTCGGTGACTTTTTGCCCTTCAGACATTTTATGTTTTTCATAATTTTTGTTCTTCAGAGAACAAGAAGCTACAGTCCATAAAAAATTTGTTTACAAAAGAGCTGCGCTGTATCGGCACAAAATGAGGCGAGGCGATGAATGCGATTAAATGGTAACGACGGCATTCTAGACCATAAAGTAATAAACAATTATTAAGTAACAAAAATTTATTTTCGAGCTTTAGAATCGCGCTTAGAATAATAATACTCTTGTGAAAATCTTCTCTGTCATATCAACAGTTTTAGGTGATTATTCTTCTTACCAGATCCTACACTATCGCTGTTTTGTTTGTTTATTTTTCGTCTATGCCAAAGAGGAAAGTAGACGCAAAACAGAAGTTTGAGATTATGAGATGAAATGCTCTTGTTTTAGCCTTTCTTTTCGGCCTTCAGTCTTGGTGATCTGTATGATTACCTGCTTCATCTACACTGCTGTATGAAGAAATAGTACGCTTATTGATATGTGCTGTTTTTTTTTCACTTTTGATCACCAAACACCTGTAGATACAAATGATCACCAAAAAAAAGATACTTTTGATCGCCAAATTTTCCAGCAAGCATCTCACATTTTTATTTTTCAACAAAGTATAGTGTACAACACAAACATATTCATTGAGATTTAAACAAATGAACAATATTTTAACAGTTTTATTTATATCTATCTAAAAATTTTAAACCTGTGCTAATTTTCTT